ACTACAGAATGCTGTCTAGGTTATATGGGAAGAGAAAAAGACAAACCAGGGAAGAAATAGGAGTACACAGAGAAGTGGTGTCATGGAAACCAAGGGAGCAAATGTTAGAGAAGTGTAGTCAATAGTGTTGGGAGAGTAGCAGGGTCAGGAAATGTTCCTTTAGCTTAAGGGTATTTATAGACAGAACAGGGGCCAGTACACAGAATAAAATAGACAAAAGGGGAGACGACTAAGATGGCCATAATCAAAAGATGGACAATAGTGTTAACAAGGAAGTGGAGAAGTTGGAATCCTACTATATTGCTTGTAGCAATGTGAAATGGTACCACACTTGGAGAAAACCCTTTGGCAGTTCCTAAAGTGTTAAACATAATTTCCATATGACCCAGCAATTCCACTCCTTGTTATACACCCAAGAGAAATGAAAATATATGTCTACACAAAACTTGTACATGATGTATACAGCAGCATTATTCCTAATAACCCCAAAGTGAAAACAACCCAAGTGTCCATCAAAAGATGAATGGATAAAGCAAATGTAGTACATTCACCTACTGGAATACTATTCAGCTATAAAAAGAAAGTCCTGATACATGCTACAGCATGGATTAACCTTGACGACATCATGCTGAAAGACACCAGAAACCAAAGGCCATGTATTTTATGATTCCACTTGTGAAACATTCAGAATAGGCATACCTACAGAGTCAGAAAGTAGATTAGTGATCGTCTTGGGTAGGACAGGGTAGTTGGGAGGAAATGAGGACTGCTAATATAGATGGGGCTTCTTTTGGGGATGATGAAAATGTTCTGGAATTAGATAGCGGTGATAGTTGCATAACTTTGTGGCTATACTAAAAAGCACAAATTGTATACTTCAAATGGGTGAATGTTATGATATAAAAACTATACCATAATTAGATTTTTAAAAAAGAGAGAGAGAGAAAGGTATGAGAGAAGGGAGAAGAGCACCCTCTTCTCCAGATCCAGAGCATTGTTGGAAAGATTAACCATGGCAAGAAAGAACACTACCTCTCCAGAAGAATTTTTGAGGTGGGGATAAGCTCACAGTGGATGGCTTTAACGGGAGCTAAAACATATGTATTCACCACGTGCCAGGTATTTTTCTAATTTCTTTACATGTTCTCATTTAATCCTTAAAACAACCCTATGTGGTGAGTACTATTTTTATCCCCATTTTACAGGTGGGAAAGCTGAAAGACAGAGAGGCTAAGAAAATTCCCCTTGTCAGGCACCATGGCTCATGCCTGCAATCCCAGCAATTTGGGAGGCCAAGGCGGGTGGACCACTTGAGGTCAAGAGTTTGAGACCAGCCTGGCCAGCATGGTGAAACCCCGTCTCTACTACAAATACAAAAATTAGCTGGGCGTGGTAGTGCTCGCCTATAGTCCCAGCTACTTGGGAGGCTGAGGCAGGAAAACCACTTGAACCAGGAAGGAGTAGGTTGCAGTGAGCCGAGATCATGCCACTGCACTCCAGCCTGGGTGACAGAGTGAGACTCCATCTCAAAAAAAAAAAAAAGAAAAAAGAAAAAAAAGAAATTTGGCCAAATTCCCACAGATGGGATAAATGTCAGAGCTGAGATTTGAACCCAGACAAACTGGCTCCATAGTCTGGCCCTTAGCCACTGTACTGTCCTATGTCTCTTATCTGTGTTCTCAATAAAACAGAGTAGGCTGAGTGCTGAGAGTGATAAGGGCTTAGAGCATATTTGGGATTTGTGCGCAGAGAAGGTTAAAAAATTACCATGAAGAATGTGGGAGTTAACAACCAAATTTTTATTCAAGGTTTTTCAAAGTAGTAGAGGCCTAACAGAGGCAGTTTCTCCATTCTATCATTGTTGCATTCTAGTCCTTACTATTGTTCTGTTCCTACAGGTCTGTAGTGGGAGTTTTCTTATGTGGCCCTCAGACTTTGGCAAAGAGCCTGCGCAAATGCTGTCACCGATATTCCAGTCTAGATCCTAGGAAGGTTCAATTCTACTTCAACAAAGAAAATTTTTGAATTATAGGTATAAGGATGGTAATCTGCATTGTCTCTCCTTTGTATCTTCAATAACTTACTTGATCTGGTCAGGTTTGAGCAGTCACTTTAAGAATGTGCCTCTCAAGCCTTGACTCCCTGGCATTCTTTTTTTTTGACTGCATTCAACTTTGTTACTTAAGCTTCAGCAAGTTAGAAACTTCTGAAGTTCTTAAAGCCCATGGATCGATCCTTTCTTGGGAAAATAGCTGTACTTCTGGACAGCCATGACTGTAGCAAGGCTCGATAGCAGAGCTTTGGTGGTTGAGAGTTATACAATCAATCCCAGGCAATTCTATCAATTCCAAATGTTACTACCTCCTGAATTTTGGTTTGTAATCCCTTGCCCCTCCCACCCTCACAGAAGATTTCTAAGTTGGGTGACTTTTTAAATAAAAATTTATTGAATAATTAATGATAAAACATAACAATAAACATAAATAATAAAATTACCAAGAACCCCTTCCCCATATAACACCAACAGTGTACATTTTTACTGTTACTTTCGATATGGTATTATCCAGTGTGAACAGCAATTTATTCTTATTTTTGCTTGTCAAAAAATAAAGGATTTTCTTCTTTGCTTGATGAATGAGTCTTTTGTTACTTCTTTTTGGGTTCTCCATTTGGAAAAGAAAATCTAGAAAGTATGCTATTGTAATTGAAACTGTATTATAATTGCAAGTCAGTTACATTATCATCTTGTATTATTCTGTTAAAAGCAATTGTGAAAACTTGACCCTCCATGTTAGGATGACTTTTTAGTCAAGAGGAGCTCTTTATCACTGTTTTTATTAAGGGAGTTTATTAATGTCTACTTCAAAAAAATAACAATTTATAACTTTAATAGATTTTTGTGGACTCCTACCTATTCACTAAGGAATCATTCAGCTATGACATAATCAAAATGCCTTCTTTCTCTATCAGAATGCCTTTTATTTCTCCCATCTACTCAACCTTGGCCTACAAGGACCACACTGGCTCTGGGATGTTAGTAGTCACAGTGAATCACTAGGAGAGAAGCTCAGGGCTCTTAAAGAGAGAAACCTCACACTTCATTGTGCCCAGACAATTCAACTCATTATATAGATTTATAAGAATGGTTCCACTGAATTAGCATTATATAATCTATTTTTTCTACCATTAAGTGACCAAGAATGAACAAATGGTTGTTTCTAATATTTTAGGAACCTCTGTTGCTTGAGGGATAAAACGTTTTTTTTGTCACTAGTCTGAGCACAATAAAGGTAAGTCATGAACTCATGGTAGCTGATTGTGTTTCATCTATTACAACAGTAAAAAAATACTGATGGGTGTTTATGTAGGGAGGAATACCTCTGCTGTTGCCAATTTGTTCGCCCAGATTTCAGCTATTTAATTCAGGTTTACTAAGGCATTCAGAAAATGATAATTTTCCAAATGATAATTTCATCTTCAATGACCTTGATTTGGAATCTTAGTGTTCCTTGAAACTTACAAGTTCCTAACGAGAAAGGTGTCACTCTTGGCCTCCATGTCTAAATATATTGACACACTCACTTCAAGATACAACTATTACCAAAATCAACATTCTAGGTCTTGAATATTTATGGAAGTAGGCATAAATCCTATGCATAACCAACATCCAAGTTGAACTGGGGATGAACAGGATACACAGGAAGCTCCTCACCTTTTATGAGCAAGTTTTTCTTGCGATGTTGTAATATGAAATACCTTAATCAGCAAATTGCTTATGTTTATATATGAGTAGAAAATCCCTCAATTTCATTGTCACTCATAAAGTTGATTATCTTTGCATTCTTTTGCTTGACATGTAAGCAATATGCTATTACATTCTCTAAGCCTATGCCAGGCTTTTAATTCACCTGACCATGATCCTAATCCAGGGGATAGGATTCCAAGAATATAAATTGGCTTAAAAGTAGTTCCAGTAGAACTTTACTGATTATTAAGGCAACTCTTAACCTCTTGAGGTTGGCCTGATGGAGAGAAACCATGTTCCTCCTTAATGCCACTATGAGAGAGAGTGTATGAGTGAGAGAAAGAGTGAGGGGGGAGAGAGAGGAGAGAGAGAGAGAAAGAGAGAGAGAGAGAGAGAGAGAGAATGAGTATTAGGCAAGAAGACCCATAGATTAGAGCGAATGGCACTAATTATGTTCATACCTATCTGCAAGGAAGCAAGCAGGAGCAGACCTAATGGGCAATCTGACTGTGCTCTACATTTGGTCCACTTAAAATAACTGAGAGGAATGTAAAAGTTTTAGGATTTTCTATATTTTAAGTTCCCAGAGTAAATTTAGTTACCGGGTAGGGCTGCCTAGGGATTGCCTGGAAGATAAGATGAAATGTATTTTGTTCATTGGATTTGTTTTTATTTCATCTTGAACATGTGAAAACTCAGTGGCTTTTTAAACTTTCAAAGTTGACCGCCTAGACTGATAAGTTTAAGAACACACAAGTAAATGTCCACAGTCTATGTTGCTGACACACTCAAACCAGTGCTAAAACAATTTTTGTCTTAACTGTGAATTATACACGTTCAGACCTGCTATTGAAACAAATGCATTTTGATATTTGGATTTTTCTAAACTAAACACATGGTTGTGCTAGGCTCTGTGTTCTATTAGCCTTCTGACCATTTTATAGCTCTAAGCACGTGCTATTTTCTCCCCAAAGACTCAGAAGACCTAGAAAGTTTTCAGAGGGCAAAGCCTTATAATAATTCTTACTGGAAGCAAACTAAACAAAAACCAAGTTCCAGAAAACATTGCTTCTGAGAAACTCTCAAAAATCATCAAGAAGAATAAATGGTTAACTTAAAGTAAAAACAAAACTATGGCAATATGTTAAAGTACAATACTGCAGTAAGGGGAGAAAACACATCTAAGGTTTCACCCTTAGTGTTCAGCTTTTTAAAAGCAAAAAGGTCATGTATATCAATTTGAAGTGTACTAAAATTGTGTTTAAAGTTTATTTCAAGTCACAGAAAATATACAAACTAAGACAATAAAATCAATTGCTTTTGTTCTGAGAGAAGGTGATGGGAGTCCTCCACCTGGCACTGATTTGAGTTATTCAAGGGTTAGGATGCACGTCATCTTTTTCAATATTTCAACATAATTATAGAATTAGCTTCCAGATTTCTTGCCAGGTATTTTTGAAAACCTGTAGGAAAAAGTTAGGAGAAACCCATTAGAAGTGAAGAACGAGCTCTCTTCAGGAAAAACATCAGGAAAAATATAAAAAGGCTAGGGGAGGGAGGACAGGCATACAATCAAATCACCACATTTCCAAGGTGTCTGTCTCCTGAGTCCTGCCTCCTCAAAGCAATCATCCCTTGCAGCAGGGTTTCTCAAACTCAGCACTACTGACATTTTGGGCTGGAGCACTAGCTGCTACTGGGAAGTTGGTGACAGGGACCATCCTGTGCATTATGGGATGTTTCAGTGGCCTCTACCCACTGAATGCCAGTAGCATGCCATACTCCTTAAAATTGTGATGACCAAAAATGTCTCGGGACATTGCCAAATGTCCCCTAGGGAACAAAACTGCCCCTGTTTGAGAACTATTCATCTCTAATGATAATAGTATAGAAGCCTGTCAGTGATGGCAGACATGAATCACAACTAGCTAGGGATAGGATGGAGGGAAAGCCAACACATCAGCCATAGTACGCACAAACACCAGTAGACACACAGTAAAATCTTGCCCCCATAAAAGTGCATAAAACCACACATACATACATACATACAAACTATGGTAGGTTTTTTAAAATGGTGAAAACTGAGCTTGTAGTCAAGTTAACAGTAATGTACCAATGTCAATTTCTTGGTTTTGTACTATGCTGGGTAAAGGGTACATGAGACTCCTTGTACTATTTTTCCAACTTTCCTTTAGTCTATAATTATTTAAAAATAAAAGGTAAAAAAAAAATAGACAAAAACCTTGCCCTGTGGTTAATATGCAAAGCCTTAAATTAAACATCTTATAAGCAAGAATATATATATAATGAAAGAGCTTTCAGAAACATTTCTACCTCCACTATCCAGAAACAGTAAACAGTAATTTTCTCATGTTGTAGGAAATGCCTTCTCTCGCATAAGTAAATTAGTAAGAGAAATATTTTTTATCTATTCCTCTGAATATAATAGATAGTCTATACTTTTACCAAAAAGAGTAGAATATGTGGGGTTTGTGGAATAAAACATTAAGGTACCAAAAGTCTACAGAGCCCTCCATCTATGATAGCTTCTCATTAATTCACTTAAAATCTAAATACAGATATGATGCATAGTTGTAGTTTCAAGATATTACAAATATGGATTAAAATGATTTATTAAGAGTGGTAATTATTAATAGTATGAGTTCACTATTACATAACATAAGGATAGGAATTATAATATTAATGGAGTAAAAAGTAGAAATTTAAATTGTGATGTCCTACCTGATAGTGGGACAATGTTAATTTTAAACTGCTTTTAAAAAAAAGAATTGTTATATGTAAGCAAGTTGTCACATGATTATTTATGAGGCAGGTTACTTGGATCCTTTTTGAGACAGGGTCTCACTCCGTTACTCAGGCTGGAGTGCAGTGGCATTACCATGGCTCACTACAGGCTTGACCTCCTGGACTTGAGCAATCCTCCCAGCTAAGCCTCACAAGTAGCTGAAACTATAGGTGCATCTCACCATGCCTGGCTAATTTTCCAAAAAATTTTGTAAAGATGGAGTCTCACTATGTTGCTTAGGCTGGTCTTGAACTCCTGGGCTCAAGCAATCCTTACACCTAGGCCTGCCAAAGCTGAGATTACAGGGATAAGCCACTGTGCCCAGTCCCTAAAGTCTTTCTGCCTAAATAATGAGCAAGAAAAATAAGGGTATAGCAATCTCCAAAATACATAGAAAGTGATGGTGATGGTGACATTTACTACCTTAAATTATACGCTGTAATAGTTTAACATCAAAATATTCACTATAAAACACAGGAAACTTTGTACATTTTATTGAAATGCTTTGTATGTTTTCCATTTTGACAGGACAGTTTGGAATACGATAATACAACTGACTGTAGAAGGATATACACCAAATTATATTCAGAGGTTTTGTCTGGGGAATGATATTGAGGAAACAGGGCTTTTTATCTTTCATTTTCTACATTTCTATATATCATTACTTTTGTTAAACTGATCATACATTACCTTTGTCATTAGGAAAGACTGTAAGCAATTCAACAACTGTACAAATATTCTATAGCCTTACTCTATCCCTATAGGAGCTGACCTACTGAAGAGTAAAGAAGACTCTAGCTAAGTGGTTTGAGGGCCTGTGAGAGAACAATCTTGTTGGTTAAAGTTAAAAGTATATACCCAGAATAGACAAGGAGCTAGTCCTACTCAGATGGGATTAAGTTTGCTCACCTGTCAAGGTGCTCCAGTGGATTTCTGTATTTGTTCCTTTAAAATCAGGATACTCTGCCTTTGCTCAGGAGGCAACATGGCAATCTGGTCTGCAGTCAGTTGTAGAACCTGCATAATCAAAGCAGCCTGTGCAGAGGAAAAAAAAGGTAGTGAGTTTTAATGATGACAACTTAAAAAACAAAACAAAAAACCCACCACTAGCTTCTGTCCAAAAAGCTACTGTAGTGGGATATAAAACAAAATGGAAAAAGGAAGAACATTTCATACAGAAAACAAACAACAGACCAAAAAAAAAAAAAAAAAAAAGGCTGGTGAGAAAAAGTACAAAAAAAAAAGAACAAGTATAAATTAAAACACCTAAGGTTAGATGATTTAAAACAGACAACTTCATGAACTCAAAGCTCCTGGAGACTAAGGTGGTATCTTTGAACCCTGGAAACCCTTCAGGTTTTAATCCTATTTTAAAAGTCTCTCTTTTTCACAAATTTTAGCCTTTCCATCAGACATAAGTTCCCCAGAATGGTCAAATATAAAAACAGAAATATATAATCATGGGGAATCTACTATCGTTTTTAGGGATAAAGTAGAAAGGGAAGGAAAAAGGGTGTGGGTTTTCTGGTCTAAGTGGCCTGAAGAAAAACCAGCTCTTGGCAGATGAGTCTGAAATATAAAATAAGCTGCCATTTACATCCATTTAAGAACTTTACATCCATTAGAAAGTTTAGGACCAGACTCACAAATTTTTAGGTGACAAGATCATAAAAGAGTTCTAAGTTAGAATAAACATCACCTCCAAAGGGACTTTGAAGACCCAGGATCACCACATGGTAACTGTGAAAAGAGGAATCAAAAAGGCTAGAATTGTGCATAAGGAGGCAGTCAGACAGTGTTGCTTACCTTCTCATGATCTTGTGGAGTGACTTGGTTCTGCCCAGGACTAAAGCCACCAGGCTGGCTTCCACCCTGTATACTCGCTCCTTGCATGCCTGTTCCCTGCATGACTGGGACCTATGTGCACAAAGAGAAAAGAGAGATTTTTGGCATTTTTAATGTATAGGTAACCTGAATTCAGTAATAATGTGAAAACTTATGATCTCTATACAGATATGAGTAAAGAAAGTAAATCAATGACTCTGAAGTTCATTTCTACTGTTAGCAATAGCAGAAGGCAGGGTTTAGCCAGAGATCAACTAGCAAGTTCGATATATTTGCTTACAACAGCTCCAGCAACATCAACAAATATCACACAGCACAACTGGATACCACTGAATTAATAAAAATTCAGCCAAATAAGCACAGGGAAAACTGACAGCACCCTGGAAACTAGTGCTCACTGGAAACACGAATGAAAGCAGAGTCTAGAGAAAATATATGCTGGTCTACTGGGGAAGAGTTACATTCACAGGGCCACCCGCTACCCTAGTTCAATCAGACACAGGTAGTTTGTCCCAAAGGGCCCTATCCCCTAAGTGAGGCAGAGTTGTTCATAATGTCAGAGAAGCAGAAAGGCAATGGGAAGGATTCCAGTAAAAGACTGCTATTAGCCCAACATTTGCTGTTTATAGCTTTCCATAGAGAACATATGGCAAGATGCTCTCTGCAAAATGCAGACCAAGAAATATGACTGACTCAAGTGAAAGAACAAAGTACAGTAATATCATCCTTATTGGTATTTAAGATCTTCAATGAGTTTGACCCTTTGCAAGACTACCAGAACCCAAGGAAAAGATCTCTTGAGTACCAAGTGTAACTGTTAGAATGTCCCTATATAAGCATTATGTTCACACTCAGGCATTCACCCAGGGCTTAGGTACTCTCTTAATAAACACATTATTGTTAACAAACTTGTTACCTGCTTACCCAGCAGATTAGAAGCAGCAAAACATAAAAGAAATATGGATAAACAACTGTTAGCAGCAGATACCACTTCAGCAATATGAAGAGCCAGGTGACAGCCTGACAGTGAAGGAGACCAGAAACCAAACAGGAGATAACTATGTTTTATATTACAGCATAGAATAATGAATCTATTTAATGACGACCTTGAGTAGTCAAAAGTGATTAAACTATTTTTTTGTATCTTGTTTAAGAAGAAAGGAAATATCAAAAACATCTTATAATTTTTCATTAAAGTTAGAAAACTTGGTAGAATAGTTCCAGTATCTGGAACATTCACTTACATGCATTAACTCATTTCCCAAAGACACTGGATAGATGAAACACGAGTACAGATTTGTACAGACTGCTAGAATACTATCACTATTCTGTTTCTTATCAATACGGAATCCAGAAACAAGTTTCCAGAGACCAGTCTGAACATTAACAAGCTATTATGGATCTGAAACACCTATGGGTATAATCATTTTAAAAAACTTTTTTATTTCCATAGGTTATTGGGGAACAGGTGGTGTTTGGTTACATGAGTTTATAGCAGCACAATTTGCAATTGAGTATAATCTTTTTGAAGCTTTAATTTAAGGTATTGTAATTGTGATCTAACCACTCAATAATGGCCATTTTAAATTTCTAGGTATGCTTGTTTTAGGCAGATAAGTACCAGCAAGAGCGACCATACATCTTGGTTTCCCTAAGACACTCCCAGTTTCTCCTTTTCCCTCCAAGTAAAGTAACAGCACTTTCTTTCATGTTCTTCTTTAGATGATAAATTATATAATCATCTGAGTAATAATAAGCCTTTTGCCCACAAGTTTCTAACTAGGTGGACTAGAGTTAATTTTAAAATCTAATTTAAAAGTATGAATTAAGGACATGTTGTTAAGGAAAAAAAAAGGTACAGAACAGTGAAACGGGAAAAATAAAGAATATGTATTTGCATTTTCTGCAAAGCGACATTAAAAATATAATAAAAGTGATTATCTACAGGAGCTAGCGGGCCACAGGGGACACAGGCATAGGAGAGGAAGCAAGGTTAAGATGTGGTCTCACTATGTTTTGTAGGCTGGCCTCCAACTCTTGGGCTCTACTGATCCTCTTGCCTCAGCCTCCAGAGTAGCTGGGACTACAGGATTCTACCCTGGCTTTTTTTTTTTTTTTTTTTTTTAAGATGGGAGTCTAATATGTTGCCCAGGCTGGAGTGCAGAGGCTAGTCACAGATGCGAACAGAAAGCACTACAGCCTCAAGCTCCTGGGCTCAAATGATCTTCCTGCCCCAGCCTCCAGAGTGCTGGGACTACAGGTACGTGCCACCACATTTGGCTTGAAGTTAAGTTCTTTATATATCTTTTATAGATGAACAAATGTATATATTTATAAGTTAATATATTAATTTAAACTTTTTTTCAAGGTTTGAAGATAAAATTTGTATTTCCTCTTGCCTCAGATCTAATTGGCTTTATGGGATTTACTAATGAAAATGATATAAACCTAGTATTAGGGTAATAAATTCAAGCACTAGCAGAGAGAAAGGAGCAAAATATTATCCAGAAATGTTCTTCCAACCCTCACTTGCAATGTCTTTCACCACAGAACTACTGGTAAAATTACATAAGTGCATTTTGTAGTTATTTGTTTGTTATCTGTCTCCCTAACTAGACTGTAAGCCCACCGGGAAAGGAGCTTTGTTCTGTTCACACTGCAATATCCCCAGTACCTAGATCTATGTTTGGTACATAGTGGGTGTTCAATAAATATTTGCTGAATGACAGAATGAATGCATACAAAACATTTCTGTTACCATTTCTGTACCGACCATGGCGGGTACAATAAGAATCAAGGCTCATGAACACTTCCAACACAATAGAGAACAGTTTTATCCTACACATACCAAAAAAACCTTTATTTGTATTTCATATTAAAGAGGAGGGGGCAGACACATAGCCACACATATACACACATACAAATGTGCAGATAACAGGACAGAGTAGTAGAGTGGAAAAAGTAGCAGGTTCCATTCCCTGCTCTGCCACTTTTTAGTTATGTGAATTTGGTCAAGTCACCTGAATTCTTGAACCTTAATTTCCAAACCTATAAACTGAGGGAATTAGACGATTGATATGTTCCATTCCAGCTCTACCATTATCTTTCTCTCTCTCATACACACACACATGGGGAGGAAGACACATAAACAAATAGAAGAGAGAAGCACACAGAGGAAGGGGAAAAAAGGAACGTAGAGCAGCTAGAGGGAAATGAAGGTACCAGCGTACAAAAACTCAGGGAAGAAACACACATACCACCTCTCCACAACCAAGTGGAGATGAAGAGGGAGGCGATAACAATCACAGACCAGCATATACACACAGGCAGAGAGAGCCAAATAAAAGACAGGAGACAAGACTTCAATTTCACACCTTTTAAGGTGATCATTAATAAATTGACTTTCATATTCCACTGTTGACTTAGGCTATGTGATGACAGTAAATTAACACAGGTCTCTGTAAACCTAAGATTATCTAAATGGCCACTAACAGCTCTTCATATAATCTAACCCAGTGATTCCCAGTCAGGGTTCACATTAGAATCATTTGGGGGAAGTTTTTCAAACTATCCGTGCTCAGAGCCTACTGATAAGAGATTCTGAGTTATACCTGGGATGAGATCTGGGCAAGCATATTTTGAAAAAAACTATGTACATCATGTTGGTTTGTACCCCTAATGAAGACTACTTTCTAACCCCTAAATTTTCAGGGGCTCTTCTCTGAATGAATAGCTACTTATTGTGGGATAAAGTTTTTTTTTTTTTTTGAACTACAATCCTGATAGCCAGAAAATCACCACTGTAAAGGACAGAGAAGCTACAGGGAGATCCGAGTCTTCCCTCTATTACAAGCTGAGAAACAGCCCAAGTCAGAAGGCAGTAATAATCAGGCTCAATAATCAATTTCTGAATAGATCAAGATTTCACTTGGATGCCAGAAGTCAGTGTTACACATACCTGTCTGGATCCCTGGGGGACAACTGCCCCCATGTTAATTGGACTGGGACCCTGCATTCCACTAGGTATAGGTCCTCTAGGGCCAGGCACTGGGCCTCTGGTATCCATGCCTCTGGCCTCCATCCCTCGGACTTCCATCGCACGGGCCTCCATCGCTCGGGCCTCCATCGCACGAGCTTCCATTGCACGGGCCTCCATTGCACGGGCCTCCAATCCTCTGGCATCTAACCCTCTTGCCTCCATGGCTCGGGCTTCCATCCCTCGTGCATCTATTCCTCGGGGATCCCTTCCACCTAAAAGAAAATTATAAGAAAACCATTGTGTAGCTACTTGCATGTACTGCAAGAATGATGATTAATCCAAGAAAGATAGAAATCTAGTCACATTTGCCCCCTCAGCTATTAATATATGAGACTATTATCTCCTCCCAAATTTCTCAGATTTGTGGATAAATCTTAAAGATGCTTGCAAACCTACTGCTCCAGTATTCTTTATCCCAGATTAGAGTGTAAGACAGCAGGGTTCATTATCACATTTGCAATGTGGTCTCTGCTTACCTCTGCCATCCAAGGGTGGACCCCTCTGATCTAACATGGGTCCTCTTGGTTCTGCCATTAGAGGTCTGGGCTCAGGTAATGGCCCTGCCCTCAGCTCATGTGGGGGTGGTCCTCGGCTCTCATGGCCAGGAACATGGTGCATGGGTGGACCCTGATGAGGTGGTCCCAAGTAACCTCTGGAGAGGGAGAAAAAGTTATATTTTAAAATAGAACAAGAAAAACAACAAAGTATCAACCAGAAGATCAGTAAGAAAACATCTAACAAAGAACTGATGTAAACAGTCTATGAATACTAACAAGAAATAACACCAAATAGATGGAAGAAAAGCTACAGAGATATAAATCCACATATTCTAGATTTCATATTTGGCTCATAATTAGGGAGGAATCAATGAATATTCCTTATATGTACGAGTTTGCAGTACAATGCATAAGAATATGAGCTCTTGGCCGGGCGCGGTGGCTCACGCCTGTAATCCCAGCACTTTGGGCGGCCGAGGCGGGTGGATCACGCGGTCAAGAGATCGAGAGCATCCTGGTCAACATGGTGAAACCCCGTCTCTACTAAAAATACAAAAAATTAGCTGGGCATGGTGGCGCGTGCCTGTAATCCCAGCTACTCGGGAGGCTGAGGCGGGAGAATTGCCTGAACCCAGGAGGCCGAGGTTGCGGTGAGCCGAGATCGCGCCATTGCACTCCAGCCTGGGTAACAAGAGCGAAACTCCGTCTCGGAAAAAAAAAAAAAAGAATATGAGCTTTGGATTCAGACGGTATGTGTTCAAATCTCGGTTCTATCACTTATTAGCTGTGTAATATTGGACATATTTAACTTTTCCACACATCAGTTTCATCTATAAAATGGTACTTATAATGGTATCCATCTCAAAGGGTCTTGATGATTTAATAAGACAGTAAGTAAAGTACTCAGAGCAGAGTCAGAGGCATGATTCCCAATTAATGTCAATTATTATTATTGCTATTATATTTATTTATTTAAAGTTTCACTCTTGTCTCCCGGGCTGGAGTGCAGTGGCATGATCTCAGCTTACTGCAACCTCCGCCTATTCAAGTGATTCTCCTGCCTCAGCCTCCTGAGTAGCTGGAATTACAGGAGTGCACCACCACACCTGGCTAATTTTTCTATTTTTAGTAGAGACGGGATTTTGCCACGTTGACCAGGCAGGTCTCAAACTCCTGACCTCAGGTGATCCACCCGCCTTGGCCTCCCAAAGTACTGGGATTACAGGCACGAGCCACCACACTCAGCCTATTACTGCTATTATTAATATTTCCACTACTACAAATTTCCCTGTTCAAGTATTTATACTAAAATCTCCAATTTCTGAAAATACAGTAGCTCGAAATGACATACTCAACTACACAGTTCTGCGTTAGGAGAAGTGCAGCCTTGGACAGTGGCCACGGATATTTACCTATCTTCTGAAGTACACAAACAGGTACAACTGGTACATAAAGACTGTTCTCAGGGAAGGAGGGACAATTGATTTCTTCAACTGTTTCCTTCTATGTTAGTGCTTACCTAGGCTCTACCTCTCCAGTTACAGAAAGTAAAGTGCCTCCCCGTGGATCATTCGGAGCATCTCCTAACAAGCCTCGAGGGGTTGGGACGTTGGCAGGCAAGGATCCCCGCTGCATAGCTGCTCTGGGGTCTTGCATCGGCACTGACAGGGAAACAAACAGGGAGTTACTGCTGTGAAAGACACATAAGAAAACAAGAAATGACTCTATATACCACTGACAACATAATTCAGACACCTTAGAGTGGGTGAAACCTCACCACAGCAGAATCCTCTTGCAGCTCAAGAACAGAAGCAGGGTGTAGGCAGAATCTGTGCCATGTCAGAGGTATGGATGGAATTATATAAAGAGCCAACTGGGGAGCAACCTGCCAAGGACTAGCACTGCAACCTGAAGAAACTTATGCTCCTGGTTTTCCTCCTAATCAATCTTAGTTCAAGGACCAGAGTCACAAAAGAGAGGTAGAGTCTTGGCATATGTGAACACTGCCATGGCTCTGCAAGAACCCGCTGTCTCCTTACAGACTGCTATTCCATCCAGGCCTCCTGACACCAGTAGGGAGGGAGTACAGCCTCGGACAGATGCCCATATCATCCATGTTCTCTGCCCTGTGTGAAGAGGTCAATCTTAGGCTTGTGGCCTCAATAGAAAAAAAATTAAAAAACAAAAACCCAAAAACACTACCCTTTTGGGTTCTGAACGCGAGGATGACTGCCAAGCAGCTCTTTTCCTCTCAGCGTCCCACCCTGAACACCACAAGCAAAAGGAAACCCACAGATACAATGGGTACCTTGAACTCGCTCAATTGATGCAGGCCCGGCGGGTCCCACGGGCGAGTGCTGTAGGGTTCCTAGGTAAGCAGTAAGTTCAAAAGGAGAAAGAACAGACACTTAAAATAGCTTGCACACACATGCAGAAACACATACACACAGAGACTCAGATTTACATATATAAGTTAAAAAGCCAAGAGTTCATTGGCTTGCTCGAGGCTATAAAATCTCCTTAAACTACACTAGCTCCTGTAGGTCTCTGAAACAGTTCCATTTTGACCAGATAGCTTCTGAAAGTGAATCCCATTGGGCACTGGTTTGATCTAGGCAGGAATAAGCAGACATTTCCATTTTCCCCTCTGCTACTATGTTTTCCCTTAGGTCTCCTTATGATAGCATTAGAGGAAAAAAAAATATATAAAAACGACAGTTTTGAATCTTCTAGTTATGCAAAGAACATAGTTTCAGAAGACAAACATGAAAGACACTACACTATATCTGGAAGGCAAGATTCATTCTGAAGTGGCTGTAAGTGAAGTACAGTAATTCTATTTTTGTTATATTTTAAAGCACAAAAATTTCTGCTGTCACAAAAGTATCAGATGGGGAAATGCCATGAACGAACTTTACATGATGAAAGAGAGTATCACTCCACAAGAAATACTGTCACAGCAAGACTTTGATAATAAACATCATGACAACAGCAAAAACTAATGAGATGACATGAGCACCAACACTAAACAAACATGGTGAGGCAGCAAGAAGTATCTTTGGAAACATCTTTGTCTCCTTTCACCATTACAAATGTGCAAAAGCAGCATGGATTCCAGGAAAAGTAAGACAAACTAGGCACACGTGAAAAGACTCTTGCTTCTTCTGCTGGGTACTAAAGGAAACTATAAAAGGAAACTCATCTTACTTTGTCTCTTCATGAAGACATCCTGGAAATACCCTCAAAACATGAGTCATTTCCCTTTGTAAATTTCTGACAGAAAGGTGAAGAGTACTGTAACAGGAAGGAAGATGTCTTGTGCAAGTATGCATTAAACAGCTAAAACCTGACGGATTGAGTGATGGGCCTATGACGGATAGAAGTATGACTGAAACCCTAATACCTTCTCATTACTGCAAAAACTCTGGAGAACATACATGATCTACTGACAGTGGTGGGGTGGGGATAGGGGGGCATACAATAGCACAAAAGCATGGGATGCTTAGAGAAAATAGGAGATATTTGGCCAGGGAGTTTGTCCTGCTGTCAGACATCTAAAAGAAAAAATTCTGTCACTTCAGCAACCAACCCCACTGTACAAACCACAGGTTTGTATATTTGTGTGTGTGTGTGTGTATTTTTTTGACACAGGGTCTTGCTCTGTCACCCAGGCTAGAGAGCAGGGGTATGATTATGGCTCACTGCAGCCTCAACCTGTTGGTTTCAATTGATCCTTCCACTTCAGCCTCCCAAGTAGCTGGGACCACAAGTACACACCACCATTGCCCATCTAGTTTTTGTATTCTTTATAGAGATGGGGTTTTGCCATCTTGCCCAGGCTGGTCTCAAACCTCTGAGCTCAAGCGATCCACCCACCTTGGCCTCCCAAAGTGCTGGGATTACAGGTATGAGCCACTGTGCCTGGCCAATATTTTGCTTTTTAAATGGGTTCCACTTATAGGCCATATGCTACAGAGGAAAAAACCTTAAGCTTTTCTATGCTTGTCCAAAGCAGTCTTTCCTATCATCTTATTCCCCAGGAAAAAGAGTAGAAGACACTGAATAACATATTTGGAAGTTAACAGAGGCAGTGTGGAGTGACAGAAAGAGGAGAGATTTTGGACTCAAAGACTTCTGAATCTTAGCTCTGCCACTTAGGAGTTGAAAGAGAGAATAAGAGCATCAAATCCAGTCCAATTACTCATATATTACTATTTACTTACCCTGTCCCCTTGAGTAAGTAACTTATTCTGAGCTTCCAATTCTTTGCCTGTAAAACTAAGGTGCTGCCACCGAACCCACAAGATTATTTATGAAAATTAAAGTGCTTGGCATACAATATGCACTCAGTTCCTTCTCTTTTCTCACCATCTCTCCTCCTAACGTTGTTTCCAACTGAACTACTACACTTTCTTGTCCTTCAAATTCCAGTAACATGAAGAAATAATGTGGAGATTTTGGAGCGGCAGCTATTGTTGTAGATAGCAGTACAGCCACAGCACAACAGATGTTTATAAAGTAGGCTTTTAAATCTAGTCTTCTACATACTCAGCCACACAGTTACATGCTCATTATTAAAATTCCTTACTCAGTCAACAGATAACCATACAGGGAGAGAGAACATGTCAGTGGAGTTATTAGACTATCAGGAAACAAAGGATCCACTTGCTTCATTATCAATTCTTGTAGAGCTGGGTTCTGAATCACCAGGTGGAAAGTCTAGACCAGCACTGTCCAAGAGATCTTTTTACAATGATAGAAATGTTCTGTATCTGCAATGTCCTGTGTGGTATCCACTGGTCACATGTGGCCATTGAGTACTTGGAATGTGGCTATTGTGACTGAGGAACTAAGTTTTAAATATTACTTAATTTTAGTTAACCTAATATTGAAATAGCCATGGGTGGTTAGTGGCTGCTGTATTAGACACTTGGATGTGGAACACTTCCAAGACCAATTCATATTAGTCAGATATTAATATTTATTTACCTTGTCCCCGTTCCATGGACACTGGTCCAGTTCCTGGCATTCCAACCTGAGTCTGCATTCCTCCTAGAAGAAAAAGAGCAGACAAGAAAAAACACCAATCAGAACAGTGGCTGAGTTTACAAATTTCTTCATTCTGTTCCACAAGCAGAAACCTACAAAGGAAGATATTCAACAATGCAATGAGATAGAAGATGGGGTGTGTTAGTATATTTACAATGTATATTATGTTTCAGTGACAGAATAGTGAGTTCAAGAAGAATAATTAATCCCATTGGTTACCAAACTCTTGGCAGGAAGCTCCTCTATAATACAGGAAAACAATGTCACTTACCCATGGACCTCCTCTCATGAGAGGCAGTACCGTTTCTAGAATATTTTGTAATTCTGCGGGTATACTGTTTTGGTTGTGACAAGATTTGTGGGGCCATGGCTAGTTTTGAATGAGAAAGTGCCAGGGATACTAGATGTTCTGCAATGTATAAGTTCCACAAAATCAAGAATTACCCTGTATCCTGAACTTTCAAATGTCTCATGAACATTCACACAAATGAAAACTAACTTACAGTCTTCTGAACTTGGAACCTAAGTCTGTTGTATTTGTAAACACAAAGGTTCCTTGTACTGTTTATTTATATACACACACACTAAATTTTCCAGAAATGCAATTACTGAGTAATTATGAGTACTGCAGTTTAATAACTTTAACATGAGATTTTACCATTTCAGAAAATCACATAGCTGATGTCGAAGTCCTTGTGGTATTTGAGTTGCCAAAACAATATGCCTGTAATCTGTTCTGCATTTCCAGTTTTTACATTCATGAAGTAGGTATAAACATCTGACTATTACATTTGTTTCCTGGTGTAGTGGTGCCTAATCACTTGCTTATTAAATTTTTGTATTACAAATTAATGTCCTTTTACTTCTTTATAATTAGGACATCATACTGATTTTTTGAAATCATGTTACATAGGTTATATCCTTTGTGCATTTCATTTTGGCAGTCATTGCAAAATATCTGTTATGAAAGGGGGTCACTATGTCTAACGAGGCTGAGAACCACCAGTCTAACGAGCTGGGGAATGATAACTGCTATACAAGGAATAATCATGCACTACAAGTCCTTGTCTGGTCCTTTCCATAGAGCCGCAATTCTCTTTTCCTCAAAGGAGCAATATATGGTGTGAGTGGGGAGAAAAGACAAGCTGATCTATTGTTTGTTCATTAATACTTCCCTCAAATAGCAAGTACATGTCACATTCCCCTATTTCATTTAATATGCCAACTACCAAAGAGCTATGAATTAAGAAGCCAAAGTACTGAGTGCTAGCCCTAACCTTACTACTAAGTAATTTTAATTCCGAATAAATGATTTGATAAAATCAATACATTCCCAGGCTTCCTCATCTGTAAAGAAAATGAGTTGTCTGAACTAGCAGCCTCAGCACCATCAGGGAATTTGTTAGAATTACAAATTCTCGGGGCCCCACCTTAACCTACTGAATTAGAGTCTGGGGGTGGGGACCAGCAGTCTTTGTTTTATAAGCCCTTCAGGTGATTCTAACACATACCAAAGTTTGAGAACCACTAGTCGAACTGTCTCATGAACATTCATGCAAATGAAAGCTAGGTCTAAATTATTTCAAAGCTCTCTTCTAGACTTAACATTCTATTCACTCTATTTAGACCAATCACCGAAACAATACAAAAATTAAGGATTCAAGGAAAGAAATGGCCGAAGGCATTGCGGGCATACTTTCTAATATTATACATTATCACATAATGGCATTTTTATTTATATGAGCTAGATTCTCAGAGTGGAATTCTCCGGTCAAAATGTATACAAATTTTTAATGTTAGATTACTTTCTTAAAAGGCTGAAAAACTCCACATTTCCACCAGCCATATATGAGTATCATTTTTTTCTACCAACATTAAGTGTCATCTCTCTTTGAAACCTTTTCTAGTCTGATAGATTTAAGTAAAGTCTCACTGTTAGGGCCGGGCGCGGTGGCTCAAGCCTGTAATCCCAGCACTTTGGGAGGCCGAGGCGGGTGGATCACGAGGTCAAGAGATCGAGACCATCCTGGTCAAAATGGTGAAACCCCGTCTCTACTAAAAATACAAAAAATGAGCTGGGCATGGTGGCGCATGCCTGTAATCCCAGCTACTTGGGAGGCTGAGGTAGGAGAATTGCCTGAACCCAGGAGGCGGAGGTTGCGGTGAGCCGAGATCGCGCCATTGCACTCCAGCCTGGGTAACAAGAGCGAAACTCTGTCTCGGAAAAAAAAAAAAAAAAAAAAGTCTCACTGTTATTTAATTTGTAACCCAGACTGTAAATGCCTTTGTTTTGTTGGCAATTTGGATGTATTCTTCTATGAAGTGCCTACTCATTTTTCTTTGCCCATTTTTCTACTAGGTTCTTTCTTTCCTCTATTTTCTTCACTGTCAGAGCATTTCCCGCACCCCCCAGAAACGAGGTCTCACTATGTTGCCCAGGCTGGTCTCTAACTCCTGGGCTTAAGTGATCCTCCTGCCTCAACCACCCAAAGTGCTTGGATTACAGGCATGAGCCACTGTGCTCAGCCTCAAAGAGCATTTTAACTAAAAAATCTTAGTGAGATTTTAAGTTTTAATAACTTCCTAAGTATAAATGCTATAAACTCACAAAAATATCACTTGAAATTTTAATTATTTGAATTTCTTTTATGCTTACTTTCAACTTTTATTAATTCCCTCTTCTTGGTATCCTCTGGCTTACTGTCTTTTTAAAATTCTTTACAACTAGTACTTAGTTCCTTTATTTTTTAATATAGGTATTTAAGGATATTCATTTTCCTTTAAGCACTGCCTTCACTGTTTCCCATACTTTTTCTGTATGAAATATACATGCATTTTGTCCTTTATACATTTCTTTTTATTTCCTCTTTAATTCAAGGATTAGAGTATGTTCCTTAATTTCACAAGTAAAGTTTTTTTTTTCAGTTGGCTTTTAATTATTTATTTCTAATCTTTCTGGCTTATAAACAAAGAATATGCTCTGTAAAATCTTCCTATCTTTGAATTTGTTAATTTTATGGCTAAGTACTGTAAATTTTTTTTTAAACTGTTCCTTGGTTAGTGAAGGTGGGGAGTACATTCTCTAGTCAAAAGATATAAGGCTCCCTCTATATATTAAGTGAAGTTTATTAATCCTATTATTTAATTCCTCAGTGTTCTTACTTGTTTGTCCATTAGCAAAATGCTAATTGAAGTGATAATCTAGAAACTACAAAATTAACCGGGCGTGGTGGTGCGTGCCTGTAATCCCAGCTACTCGGGAGGTCGAGGCAGGAGAACTGCTTGAACCCGGGAGGCGGAGGTTGCGGTGAGCAGAGATCACGCCACTGCACTCCAGCCTGGGCAACAAGAGTGAAACTCCATCTCAAAAAAAAAAAAAAGAAAGAAAGAAAGATAATTCAAATCTAAGTGTAACTCTATTATAAAGTAGATACACAAAAATCCTGAGTAATCTAACCTACCCTAGAACAGATCAATTAATAAGAAGCAAGTTTGTTGCATTAAAAACTTTAAATATTGATAATACATTATGGGTTTATACAGATGTTTCATATGGGAAATCATTATTTCACTCAATCTTCTTAGTTACAATTGTTGAACAAGGAACAAGTATATGAGCAATACTCTTATTAATTGCCTATCTATACACTTTCAATAAATGTATATAGCTTTTAAATTTCTTTTTTTCCTTTTGTTGTTTGGTCTAATTATGTTTGTTAAAATACAATTTTATGTCAGTTTAACATGATATAACACATGGGACCTTGTATTTTTTTGTCTGTTTTCTTCATGAGCTTTTGAACTTAATCTAATAGTTCATTCATATTTAGCAGAATAACAACATTAGTTTTTATTCCTTCCATCTTACTCTACACTTATTATTACTTATTTTACATTGTCCCTTCCTTTTTTCCTTTTCTCTATTTTTGCTGGCTTGATTTAGTTTCCACTCATTCCATTTTCCCACTTGTTAACTTGGAAGTTTTACTATGTTATTCCGCTTTATTGTCCCTCTCCCTCTTCTTATAATTAGACATATAGGATTTAACATAAGAACTCTATTTCCTCCACCTAGGATATATGCTTTCTAGCTGTGTATTAATTTTACTTAAGGATCCCATTATCATAGTTGGCTGTACTGAAACAGTGGCTATGACAAAACTTTAGCAAGTACTGAAATGGTGAAGACTAAATGAAACTTACCTCCAGGAGCTAAGGAACCAGGGCCAGGTCCTGTGACAGATGCTGGTAATTGCCCTGGTGCTGGAACTCCACCCTGTATAGAAGCTTGCATCAGAGGAGGTGCGCCATTGACATGCATTCCACCCTGACCAAGAAAAAAAACAGAGTATGTACATGCCTCTGTGGATACGCAATATACTAAGTCTATGACCTTAAAAGTCCTCTTCAAATGAACAGCCCCGAATAGTCTACCAAACATCCTTTTTGTATAGCATGTCTTACGCAGCATTAGATTTGTCACACACTTTGAACTCCACAGAAGCAAGTTGCAATACACATCATGAACCTGGTTATATGGAACACGGTTAAGATGGAACATATTCTTAATGTAGAGATTGACAAGTCTTATCTGTGTGGCAAGACAGCACATAGCACCTATTGTTAACTTCATGATTGGGGTCTGGCAATAACAGTTTAAAAAAAAAAATGCCCTAAAGCCAAGAAAGAAAAAAGGAGACTAGGACTCTTAAAAAGAAAAATACTGCTGGTAGTCCACATTTTTAAAATTAATTTTTAAAAAAATTTAACCAATGTTTTCTCATTCCTGTCCTTAGATATAATTCTGGTTTTGGGGGAATGTAAATTTTTTTTAATGCTACATTAAAACTCTTTGAGAGAAAGAGAATGTCATCTTTTCATCTGTGCATTCCCCAAAAAACTGAGTAGTCCCTTGAAATAGAAAGAGCTCAATAAATAAAGAATAAAAGCCACGTTATATTAAAAAAATTGCATACACGTTTAAGGAACACAAAACTCTACAAAAGAAACGGAAGAGCTGTATAGGAAGGTAGTTAAGAGAAAACTGGCTATGAGGTCAGATAATACCAGGCTCAGAACTAGATTTGCCACTTATAATTGTGCTAAGTTTTGGACCAGCTAACCTCTCTGGGCCTTGGTTTTTTTTTTCTATCTCTGAAAATGTATTTATTTATTTATTTAGAGCAGGGGTTGGCAAACTATGGCTCATGGGCCCAATCAGGCTCACCGCCTGATTTTATAAATAAACTTGTATTGCAACACAACCACACACACACTTGTTTACATATTGCCTATGGCTAATTTCATATTACCATGGCAGAGTAGCTGTGGCAGATCCTGTGGCCTGCAAAGCCAAAAATATTTACCATCTGATCTACGGAAAAATGTTTGCTGACCCCTGCCCTGTATCTCTGCCAATCTGAGAGATGAAAAATGGTAGCTTATTGTAGTTTCTATTTACATTATCTTATTTTTTAACATTATGCATATTAATGATAATTTATTACATTATCTTGAGGTTTAATACATTTTCATATATTTACATTTCTGCTTTTGTGAACTATTTATGTCCATTTCCCATTTTTCTACTGGGTTATTGGTAATTTTCTTACTAATTTATAGGAGGCCTTTTAAAGTTTAGTATGAAAAATTACAGATATACAAATCATATAGAAAATAGCCACCCAGCTTAGGAAATAAATAATAAAATAAATCAATCTCCTGTATGGTCTTCCCCAACTGCATCCTGTGCTCTCTTCTCCTTAGCTGACCACTAAGACTCTTTTTAATGTTTTAAAATTTTATATGAATCATTACATACTCAATATATTCTTTTGCAACTCACTCAACATATTTTGGGGATTTATGCAGATACATATATCCTACATTTCGGGAATATGTCCACATTCACTTAGTTTCACATCCGTATGGTATTGTTTTGGAGTTATTTGTGTTGATGTCATGTATCCTAGTTCATCTTAACTACTGTATGGAATTTTGTTTTTCAAAGTCATTCATGTTGATACGTGTAGTTTAGTTAATTGTTGTAGAGTATTTCACTGGATGAATGTACCACACATTCTCTCCATTCTTCCATTGATGTACATTTAGGACATTTCCAATTTTTCACTACAATATGGCAATAAACATTCCTGTGCATGACTATGGGCTCTTTATTAGTCTGTTGTCCTCACGTGTGTGGCAAACACTTTTTCCCAATTTGTCATGTCTTTGATATTTATTTCTTTTTCTTTACATGGAAATTTTTTAGTTTTCAAATGTATCAATTTGTTGTGACTTTAGGGTTTTGTATCACGCTTTGAAAGCAAGCTTTACTTTTTTCATTGGTAAGAATGGAGATAATAAGAGTGCCAACCTCATATAGTTGCTTTGAGGATTAAATGAGATAATGCGTATGGAATAACGAAGTGCCAACCACAGTGCCAGGCATGCACATACACACAAAGTTAGCTTATAAGAAAAGGGCATACAGGAAGGATCTCTTTGTTTTACAAACTTGGAATCGAATCTATATTCATTCAGATGCCATGTGCTCTGCAACCTGGAAATTGCTTTTATGCCTGGAAATTGAAATTATCATCTCTGGTTCCTGACCATTCTTCTTTCAATATATTCTCCTAAAAAGAAAATGATATTCTAAGACTGATAAAATAAATGTTAAGGGATAAAGCCCTACCAAAGACTGGGCCTGAGGGGCCTGAGGATTCTGCTGGTTCATTGACACATTGGATCCTGAGCCAGGCCCAGCACCATGGACTGGCTGAGGGTTGCCTGCAATCAGCGTTGGGATATTTGTCTGGCGATGTAGAATTTTCTAAAAAGTGAAAAGACAAACCTATGAGCTATCTGTTTAACAAAGCAATCAGGTAGTTCCTATCCCACTCAAGGTTTACCCTACCATTTCCATAAAAGAACCAGAAGCACTCACCAGGGCAATTTCCGGATCCACAATTCTCATCACTACCTGTGCTTGCAGCAAAGCGTAAGCCAGTTGAGGGTTCTGAAGCAACATGTTCCGTGCCTCCTGGGGACTATTCTGGACACAGAGCTAAGAAGATAAGCAGATTCAGGTTTAATACTTATGACTTAGAAACTGATAGTGATTTAAAGCCATTCCCCTCTGAGAAATGTAATATTCAAGAGGCTCTTTATCAACAGTTTTTGCATGGCACACACACAAAAAAAACAATCCTTGGTCATGGCAGGCAAGAGAAGAAAGAGGCATTTCAAATACTGTGATACGGTCATTTAGGAAAAAGGCCAAATTTTAATATCTTCAATCTGATATCTATGGGCCACAAAACCCGGCTAGATTGTTTGGATAGCTGTGTCTCTGTACAAAAATAGAAAGCTCTTTGTACAAAATGTAAAATACATTGTGTACATATAGGATATTGAAGGTGCAAGAAATGGTCTACAGACAATTTCTATTTGAGCTCAGGGAACTAATTCAATTAACTCCTTGAAAACCTGATGTGATTTGCTTTATTCATAACCTAATGCCTCCTCCCACCTTCATTTGTTTCATCAGCTCAAACATCTGCTCTGGTGGAAGGCTGGCAACTGCTTTGCTAATGGACTCAGGGGCATCCTCAGGACTGATGGTCTCTCCATAAGGTGACTCAATGACAGGGGCACCAGTGCCAAGGCCTAATCAAGAAGAAAGTACAAGAAAGTTAGGGATGCAAAACAAAAAGCTAAATCATTTCAAGTATCTAATTTTCCGGGCTGCTGTAAGAACCAGCTGATAATTTTAGATTCTCCAGAGCTGAGAAATAAATGATTTGAAAGCCTCTTGTTTCTGGGGAGGAAAGTGAGAGTGTATTTTCTGTTCTCAGAGGAAAGCTGGGGATCATGATCACATGGATGGATAATGTTAACCTAAGTTAGAGAACTGGGCACACTGACTTCTTTGGACAAGTCATTACAGAAACAAAAGGTTAAAACAGAAAAACATGCTAATTTCAAAAATTCCTGGAAACAGTGACAGAAAAAACTAATGCCATAGTTAGTACTACTAATGGTTTAATAAATTTGAATTCATCTTTAACTGGAAATCAACTGCTTAGCAACAGAAAAATTTGTTTTCTTTTTTTCTGTGACAGTCTTGCTCTGTCGCCCAGGCTGGAGCAACTGAATTATTTCTAATATCGACTTTACCTGTTTCTTAAAGATATACTTATTAGCAAGACTCCAGCATGCTTGGGTGTGCAGTGACCCTATGCATTCCTACAGTGCTTGCCAGAGCAGTTTTGAAATGCTTTGAGGCCTTGCCCTGTTCTATCCAGAGCAAGGATATAGAAATTTCAGAGAATTACTTCAAAAAAAAATTTATAAAAAAAGTTTTAAAAGATATATGTAATACTTGCCTAACTCAGGCACAACACGTCAGTCAAGTAATAAACAAGCTATGTGGCTAACCATTTCAGCATATTCTAAAATGTATCAGAAATGGAAAATCTTCATTGTTACATCTTTACTAACTCATACTACATACAAGTTGGATTTGTACTTACTCTTCAGCTCTTCTTTGTTCTTTTCACTGGCAGCATTATCTACTCGAAGTGCTCTCCCACTGAATTCTCGCCCATTCAGGTTCCGCATGGCACTAAGTGCTGTCTCTTGGTCTTGGTATTCACAGAAGCCATAACCCTTTGGCTTTCCTGTCTCTCTATCATATACCAATCTGGAGAGCAGAACCAAGTATCAGGAACAAATGTTACACACATTTGTTACAGGGTTCCTGCTAACACTGCCGTGCTTTAATTGGGCCCACTGTAACATAAATAACCTTATAGCTCTGACTGCCTCACAGAAATATTTTAAGATACATTTTTAATGAAAAACACATTTTAGATAACAGTAAATGTCAATTGTATTGCATATACATTATATCTCAATAAAGCTGTTCCAAGAACACAATGTATGTGAAAAGTCATCAGTAAAGAAAACCTGCCATTATTACCACTAGCCAAATTGGTGGTGATTTTTAAGAAGCTCCCACCATGAAGTAAAAAGGGATCTCACCTGAAACTAACAACAGGTCCAACCTCAGAAAAGATGTCCTTCAACTGCTCTTCAGTAGCTTCATAAGGAATGTTCCCCACTAAGGAAGGAAATAAGTAACAATAAATTCTGGGTTTATAACCTAGATGTTTAGTGAGAAAGTAAACAGATTATCTGTCTACTTATATCATCAAATAGGTAACAACTGGCTCAAAATAATGTTCTCCAATTCCAATTCCATTGTATTTCTTCAGACCTCTTTACAAAGGAAATACACCACTGAGACTAAATACAAAATGTGTAGATACTCCTAAATGTTAGTTGTCAGACTGATCTGACAAGCGTTAGATTTTCCTTAACTTTGGTGAAAATAAATACTTAGGCACTGGTATTTACCTAAAGTCTGCAAGTCTCATCAGTGACTACAAAATATAACAATGTTATTTAATATAATTTTTAAAACAGGTTCATATGTATTTCCACATATACAACATTTAAGGGAGAATGACCATGAATGCAGTGGAGGATGTTTAAAAATTATTCTAAATCACTTTGTTATATCCCTTTCAAAAGGTTCTTTAAAACAATCACATTAAAAAAATAAATAAATAACAACTTATTTCAGCCAAAAAGATAACTCAGAATAGTTTCAATTCTTTTTAAAATTCCTCTGAGGAGGTCTTAATAGTTCATTCATTCATTCACTTACAATTCATCTAAGGACACCAGGTGGCCGCTACCACTACTGGTGAACTAAAATGTTACAGATACAAAGCAAAGCATGAAAGTACTTAGGAGAGGGCAGGAAGTGAACAGTAGGATCTATAGCCTGGGCATATAGTCTGTATTCTGGGACAGAAGGAGAGAAGTAGTACGGGACAGTGAGGAGCCGTTGCCATGCACCTTCTCTTCTAGAGAATAATTAAAGCTCATGAAAGGAGAAACGCACAGAAGCTGAACGCTAGTCTAACTTCCCCAGTGATACTGCGGAAAGGCTACGAGACCTCGGCAGAATGGGAACATCTCTTTGCTCACGAGTCCACCAGGTTGGACGCCCTACAGGATAGGCAGGGAGAACTGCATGTCCGAACCATCATCGGCTACTGTAGCGATTCGTGAGATGAGAAGTGCAGAGGGGCGTCCCTCCCCGTTGCTTGGCTGCAACGAATTCCTCTCACCGAACACAGAACGTAGAGAACGATCCACCGCTGGGTCTCTCACAGTCAAACCCGCCATAGCTCTCTTGAGTCGGCTTCCGGGGCATCAAAGGACACTTCCGTACGGAGCAGAAGCTCAGCGCTGACCACGCTTCCGTACGGGGCGTGAGCCGGAAGTGCCTGGCCGTAACGGACTCAGAGCCGGTCCCCTAACGACATTCTATTAGCGGCTGGCGCGTGTTGCGTCCACCGGAGGACTAAACCCCCACCCCTGAGATAACTTCGTTTCGAGCCAAATTCAGCTGAGTCCAGGCTAATTTGAAGGCTTTCAGCCTGCAGACCTCCTTGTTATTTTCTCTTAGGTTGCTGCAAGTACTCGTCAACCACAATAAAGATGGCAACAGCGGCTTTACCATGGTAACAGGGAAGTCCTTTGCTGACCGCTGCGGCGCTTGCATTTTAGGCCCGCCCTATCAGGGGAGGGAAATGCTTGAGCCCGTCCCAGAAGCGTGCATATTATTTGCTAAAGCTGTGCCGGTATGGAGTGAGATGAGGAAAGGGCATGCCAACCGAGAGAAACATAGCTGAAGAAATGGGAGAAGTACAGACCTTTGTTCTCGGGTAGCCCGTGGGCTCCATGTGGTTCGTGGTGGGGCGGTGGGGCGGTGCGGCGGGGGATTCTGGCAGGTAGAGTATTGGAAACAGAACAGAAAACATCATTGATCTGCCTTTCCACACTTTGGTGCCCGCGCTCCTGGGATATGGCATGCAGGACAGGTCGTTGTATCAACCCGAAAAGGCAGACCCTGCCGAGGTTGGAGTAAAGCCAGAGGTCACCTAAGGAAGACAGGGTTAGTGGAGGGGCAACGGAAGGAGCCAAGAGCGCCACCTTTTAGGGACTTGTCCGAAAAAGGAAGACAGTAAAATAACCACGGAATTGGAGGCAGGGACGTTTTTATTAATTCCACATGTATTAAAAGTATACGAAATAGGATAAATAGAAAAAAACTAAGAAGTGCTACTTTACACCATGGAGCATATCACTTCAAGAAGTAAGTCTGGTAAGGATGGAAAGTTTCAGGAGAGTATCCCCATTTCTATGACTGTGGAGTCCCACTTGCAATCATTGTGTGACCAAGAGGATACATTGTATAATGGAATAGTCCAAAACGAGATGTCCAGCTCTGTAGAAGGCACAGTTTCAAAGAGTTTTGGTGTGAGTCATTGTTCCATTGTGGTGAACTTTTGCTAAATGCATGTATGGTCGAGTATATTTCTAACCCAGTGTTTCGCAAACTTACATGAACAAAAGATTCACCTGGGGTCTTTAAGTAACAGTATAGATTCCTGGGGCTCCACCCAGTCCTATGGAGTGGGACTCCAGGGAAAGAACTTGGGAATCGTTATTTTTAAACACGTGCCGCTGGTGATACTTAGTGTTAGGTAATTTGAGTAACATTGTAGTTATTGAGGTAATTTTATGGCAACATTAAGACACCCACGCTTGCTTTCTTTTCTTTTTTTTTTTTTGAGACAGAGTCTTGTTTCATCGCCAGGCGCCAGGCTGGGGTGCAGTGGCGTGATCTTGGCTCACTGCAACCTCCGCCTCCCTGGTTCAAGCAATTCTCCTGCCTCAGCCTCCCGAGTAGCTGGCACTACAGGCGCGCACCACCAGGACCCGCTAATTTTTGTTTTTGTTTTTTTTTTGTTTTTTAGTAGAGACGGGGTTTCACCATGCTGGCCAGGATGGTCTCTATCTCTTGACCTCATGATTGCCCGCCTCAGCCTCCCAAAGTGTTGGGATTACAGGCGTGAGCCACCGCGCCCGGCGGCACCCATGCTTTCTTATGAAATTTCCCTTAGAGTAGTTCTCAACCCTTACGGACAAGCATGTTTGGAAATGTACGGGGGCATTTTCAGTTGTTGCAATGACTACTACTAGGGGAAGAGGAGCCAGAGATGATAAATGGATTGCCATGTCCAGGTCAGTTCTGCACAATGAACCCCTCCCCCCATTGAATGCCAGTAATGTCTCTCCCCTTGAGAAATACTTAATATCAGCCATATTAGACCAAATGGACCCTGGATCTGAAGGCTATGTTGCACTGCCAGCCTTGCATAAATAATTTGTTCTTTAGCCTTCTTACAACTGTGTAGCTGATACCAATGAGTTAGTAATAATAAAAGCTAACATTTATTAAGCACTTGCTCTGTCCTCATTGTATTAGTTTTCTATTGCTGTGTAACAAATTTCCACAAACTTAGTGGCTTACAACACTCATTTATTAGCTCACAGTTCTGTAGGTCAGAAGTTTGCGTGGACACGAGTGAGTTCTTTGCTTAGGCTCTCACAAGGCTGAAATCAAGGTATTGGGCTCTTATCCCAAACTCATTTTCTTCTTCTTTTTTTTTTTTATTATGCTTTTTAAGTTCTGTACATGTGCAGATCATGCAGGTTTGTTACATAGGTATACATGTGCCATGGTGGTTTGCTACATCCATCCCCTTGTCATCTCATTAGGTATTTCTCCTAATGTTATCCAGGCTCATTTTTCTTGTTGGCAGAATTTGGTACTTTGTGGTTGTAGGACCGAGGTCCTTGTTTCTTTGCTGGCTGTTGGGAGGAGGGCTGTAGCTCTTAGCTCCTAGGGGCTTCTTTTTGGTCTTTACATGTGGGTTTCCACATCTCAGAGCCAGTGATGGCACTTTGAAGCCTTCTTTTGCTTTGAATCTCTGCCTTCCTCTCTTTTGACCAGCTGGGGAGAACTCTGCTTTTAAAGGGCTCTTGTGCTTAGGCAAGGCCCATTAGATAATTTCCCTGTATTAAAGTCAACTGTGCTATGTAACAACCTAATCATGAGAGTAAAATCCATTATAATCATAGTCTTAGGAATTATGTAGGACAAATACATCAAAGGGTCAAGGAATCTTGGAGCCAGGCAACTCTACCCATTTTATTGATAAACATGTCTAAAGAACTTTCAGTAACTTTCCTTAGGTCCCACAACAAGTGGATAAGGCATGGTTTGAGCCAAGGTTGCTCTGGCTCCACAGACTGCTTAATTGTTAGGTCTCCTGCCTCAATATAACTGAGGAAATATGGATGGCTCAGCATATTTTGTCACTGTTTTTGGGAAAGAGTATAGAATATGTGACCTGGTATTGGTGGGTCCGTGGCTCATAACAATGAGCTACTCAAGAAAAGGGTGGGGGACTTAGCCAGGGCATTTTCTGCTATCATCAGCCATCTGTGGAAAATATACTATTGGTTCTATGACTTCAGCAACCAACTTCACTCTACTGGTTATAAAAGAGGAGGTATGTGCAAGGGATGTATCCTAGGTGCTTGCTTTTTTGTCTTTAGATTTCACTTATAGTCTCTGTCCTAGTGACTCTTACCTTGTTGCCTGTCTGTGAGAGTCTTTCCCTTCATTGAGACACTACCTGAGTGACAGCATTTCTTTTGCCTCCAGTTAATAGCAAAATGAAGATAGAAGGTGGGATGTTTCATGCTGTTGTTGGTGTTATGACTGAGCCTCAGCTAACAATATAAGTATGGTATGAAAAGGTAGGGGGAACACAAGCAAAGAATTATTTCTACAGAAAACGGGACTAAATTTAAAGTATAAATGTTATTTGGGACTTTGAATGGAAGAGAAAGGGTACCTAGTGGAGAATCAAAGAATTTGCGAGACCATAGTCATGATTTGTGGAGCACTGGCAGAAGACTTTGTAGAAAAGTCCTGAGTTCTTATCCAGTCTTGTTGATGACACTAAGAATCTTGAGTGAGGTAAACATAAGTGAAACAAGTATTCAAGACTGTGAGGGCACAGAGACTTGGGTTCTTTATTCCAGTCATAGAAGGTTAAATTTCTAAGACTGGGGTAGATACTACCTCATGTTTGATCCATGTTTAAATCTCTTCAAAGAGTCATGGAATAAAATCCCTCATTGGTGTCACAGGGGTTATCTGGAAAGGCAGCAACTTCTAGATAGTCGTCATTGCATGAAAACGGTGTCAGATGAGACCGATAGTATTACCTGTGTGGAGAAATCTTCAATGAGCAGTGCCTGCAAGAGCTAAGGAAACTTGTATCTAGAGAGCACCTGAATGCTGACACAGATCCTGATCAATATCAGGATGAAGATATCAGCTGGTCTGCTTTCTAGAAAGAAATGTCATTCTTAAGTTCTGCACTGCTGCATTATCAGTCTGGTTCTACAGAATGTCTCTACTTTCTGGGAATATTTGAGGGTTCAGCCCTGAGACTACAGAGAGTTGTCTAGTCCATCAAAGCTGGTCATGTTTTAGCATTTTCATTCTTTATTTCTTAACTAATTAATTTTATTCTCAGTGCATACTGTGTATATTTATTTTATTCCTTTCCCAGAATCCCATTCCTTCAAAGAAGGTTCAGAGTTGTTCACCTGTTCAAAGGATGTGTTGTGAGATATGTCGTTTGGTAGAAGGCCAGGGCATTCAACTGAATTGGAGGAAGATTTGCCCTATCCTGGCCATGGCATGGTAACCTTTTATTACTGAATGAGGACTGCTTCCAAGCCAATCATTGGGAAAAACTGGGTAAGAGGAGGAAGTCTTTTGAGTTTTTGTTTTGTTTAAGAATTAGAACGATAGGATATTGTTGGCTCGTACATGGCATCCAGGGTTTAGCAAAATGAAGATGGATATTCACTAGATAGCACTCAGACTCATATAGTATGCTGTTGGGTAAGTGTGGCTGGGTCAAGCATGTGGATAATGGTGTCAGACTGGGGACAATGGAGTGTTAATGACTAAGAAGAGATAACATTTGTGAAGGGCTGTATAGATTACAAGGCTTTTCTACCTGGATCTCATGTGATTCTCACAAAACCCATTAGATTGTTTTCATATGTTACCTTTTTTTAGTAGTAAAATGTATATAACTTAAAATATACCATTTTAGCCATTTTTAAGTGTACAGTTCAGGGTCATTAAGTATATTCATATTGTTGTGCGCCAGTCTCCACCATCCATCTCCAGAAATTTTTTATTTTCCCAAAATGAAACTCTATACCCATTAAATGCTAACTGCCCATCCCCTCCTCCCAGCCCATAGCAACCACTGTTCTACTTTCTGTCTCTATGAATTTGACTATTTTGGGTACTTCATATAAGTAGAATCATACAATATTTGTCCTTCTGTGGTTGGCTTATTTCACTTAGCATAATGTCTTTAAGGTTCATCTATGTTGTAGCATGCATCAGAATTTCTTTACTTTTTAAGACTGAATATTTTATTTAAGACTGAATATACACACACATCACATCACATTTTGTTTATTCATCTGTTAATGGACACTTGGGTTGCTTTCACCTTTTTTGACTATTGTGAATGACACTGCTATGAACGTGGGTATACAAGTATCTCTTTGAGTCCCTGCTTTCGATTTTGTTTGTGCCCAGAGTGGAATTGCTGGATCACATGCTGTGGTGATTAGTTTTAAGTGTCAACTTGATTGAATTAAGGAATAACTAGAGAACAGGTGAAGCATTATTTTTTGGTGTTTCTGTGAGTGTGTTTCCAGAGGATATTGGCATGTGAGTGTGAGTGGACTAAGTAGGGAAGATTTGCCCCTCATTGTGGGCAGGCACCATCTAATCAGCTGGGAGCCAGAATTGAACAAAAACAGAGGAAAGGTCTTTCTCTCTCCTGCAGCTGGGATATACTCTTCTCCTGCCCTTGGACATCAGCACTCCAGGCTCTTTAGCCTTTGGACTCCAGCAGCCCCCTAGGTTCTCATGTCTTCAGACTTGAATGAGGCCATGCTACTGGCATTCCAAGGTCTCCACTTTGCAGACAGCCTGTTGTGGGACTTATCAGCTTCCATAATCACATGAGCCAATTCCCCTAATAAATCCCCTCTTGTCTCTGTCTCTCTATATATAGCCTATTGGTTCTGTCTCTGTGGAGAACCCTGACTAATATACATGGTAATTCTATATTTGATTTGTTGA